TGACCATTGACCACGCGCCCTCGAGAGGACGGAACATTAACATTGTTCCCACAGGACCGATCACCGATGCCTTCCTACTTTGCGGCGGGCGTGAAACCAAAGGAAACCTCTTCCAACACCGCTTGAGAGTTCGGCACGGGTCTGGATGAATGCACCCTTCGGCAACAAACAAGCAAAAAAAAACGCAAAAAAAAACGCAAAACTGTCTTGTTGAGCCTGTTACCCGCAGGGGAGATATCGCTGTGTGCTGCTCGAAAAATCGTTGAAATACGGGTAGATTCCGCTGACGCTATGAATTCGTTGCCAATCTAGTTTAGACTCTTTTCTATGGATAGAGATGGATTCGTTGCGTTATATCAAGAAGAAAAAAACGAAAGGACCGAGCGACCTACATGGGCTTCTGCGCAAGGGAGGGTGGTCTCATCGCACGGGTATGCAGCCAAAGACAAGGCGCATCACACGCACCCGTGTGCGCGAGAAATCCCCGGCCAGAACATGTACACCTGACACAAACAAAAAAAAGATAACACACCACGGGTGATAGGTTCCACAACCCCTAGTTATCCTATTACGGAAAGCGCACATGAAGAGCGGCGTGTGTAGTGATAGCCGTGCATGCCGTAGTCATTAGACCATTTACCTCGCATCCCTACAAAGCCGGGACGGAGTCCGTCGGGTTTTCACCGGATCACGCTACAGCAGTATATCACATCCACCACGCGCGAAGCGCCGTCGGAGAATAGGCTCGGGGCACCGCAAAATGTTCCTTGGACGTACGCCCCTCTCACCGTCAAAATGCCTTGCCAGTCTTCTCCTATTCGCAGCCCCGAGATCATGCTCTGGTAGGCCACCTTCGTAGGCGCCATGTTTCTCTCCCGAAGCTCGCCAAAAATCCTGTCAACCCGACACGCCGTCCAATGCGCGTTCACGGGGAAACGGGAAAACACCAAAAGAAAAGGTTAGCTACGTGCATCGAGAAGAAGGAGCTTTTCTTCCTCAGAAGAGGGAAAAGGTTCTCGCCACGTATCGCCTCATCTCGTCGTTGTTGTTTCTATTATGCCACACCAACAAAACTGTGAAATGTTGGTGTTTTGCTGTCTCAAAGAAAGATAGGATAGTTGTCGATACAACGAGCGACAGCCGATAGATGTAACTGTCGTCACAAGGATAGCTGTCGCTACAACGAGCTGTCGCTACAACGAGCGACAGCTGGTAGATGCAACTGTTGTCAGACGTCTGCGTCCACGGGAGAAATTTCGCTCGAATAAAACCGTGATAGTGACGTTGTCGGTCATCGCCGTTGTTGGCTATTTGCTGTCACACAAAAAAAAAACCATTCTGATGGGGTCGTCGTTGTCTCTCGCACCCAAAAACTGTTCTGAAATATAATCACCATATATCTCCTCTGCTGTACACCGTAATTTCAAGACACGCCAGTCCCGTTTTTCTCTTAAAAGTTGTCTTCCCGAAAAAAAAAAGGGTTATTTTTGTGATCCCCGGCAAAAAAAAAAAAATGAAGCTCCTGCAGCTTCAGAATCGGACAAACGAACGACTTCTGCTGCAGTAGCCGTTGCCGCGGGCCCACACCCAGTGTCATTCGAATTCAACCGGCAAGCACAAATCGGTCCAGGCTTTGCTGCCATTGTATGGTGTCGGTTTTCTTCAGGTTGTCGGTGTCGGGAGGCGGCGGTGCGAGCGACCCTTTTCCGGGCTACATTGCTTGCCAGCATGCTCGGTTTGGGCCGGGCCGTCGCTTGAACGGATCCGGACTCAAAAAAAAAAAAAAACGGTTTCCATCCACTGACTGAAAATACTTCAACACATCCCTTTCGACTGTGGTTATATCTCTTCTCCGACGGGTAGTCTTTCTGTGAGATTTATGTCTACTTTCGAAAAAACACATCCGCGAAAACCGCGGGAGAATACGCACAAGGTATGGGGGTGCCTGGACCACACCCACAGCAGTCATCACGGCCTTAAGAGAAGAACATATTATTGTCTTAAAGCGTCTTTGTAGCGGGGAAGCGCCTTTGAGGTTTCACCCCCGCCCTATATTTTTGAATCCACGGGGTGTATCATGGCAGGGAGGTGACCCAACCCGGGGGTGTCTTTAAAGCGGGGAGAATTCTACCGTACAACAGCCTGGAGCGGTATGTGTTCCACCAGCAGAGCCAAACCTTCTCATTTCATCAATGTCCTTCCAGGAGTTAGCGACGACCATGTTGGACAGCGTCGTTTCGTTCGCTTCCAAGCCGCTCGATAGCAGCTCTTCGTACGTCCGTCGCGCCCCGGCCACGTCCTTGCTGCTCGCGTACCTGCATGACATGTCATATTTCAGTTTTGTAGTCAACGGAATCATAACAATAGTCGCTGCTGTTCGAGCACCTACATGGAACGTGTGAGAAATTACTGTCAACGAGATGATTCTAGTCCTTGCTGCTCGCGTACCTGCACGCCACGTCATATTTTAGAAGGTGCTAACACAGTATTGTAGTCAACGAAATAATAATCGCTGCTGCTCGAGCACCTACATGGCACGTAGGAGGAATGGCTGTCGACCAGATGCTACATTAGCCCCTGCTGCTCCCGTACCCGCAAAGAATATATTCAGAAAGTCTTACAGCAGAAGGCGTCCGCCCTAAGGAACCTCTTATCATAGTTTCGGCCGGGGCTGAGGTTCTTACTGTATTCCTAGGGTCATGCTACGAATGGTCGCTATATAGGTTTTGGTGTAGGAGTTCTTAGTCGAGCTCGCAAATGGTCCTCGAGTTCTTAAATTTCGATATTTTCGAGGCTCAATATCTTGGCTCCTGAGTTCCTATGTGGTGGCGCACATACGGAGTTTGAGCCGAGACTGGGGGTTCTTACTGTTTTCCTAGGGTCATGCGACGAATGGTCGCCATGTAGGTTTTAGTAGGAGTTCTTAGTCGAGCTCACAAATGGTGCTCAATTTCTTGATTGACAACCAACAGCAGCATCCAACGAAAACCATATTAGTCCCTGCTGCTGGAGCACCTGCATGGGAGGAATAGTTTGTCAACGAAACGTTCTAGTCCGTGGTGCTCGTGTAGTAGCCACATGGCATGTGGTTAGGAACTGTTTCGCCTCACGTGGGGTTTTGCAAACGGGCGTGTCTTCATGCTAGCATTTGCGCCGCGGCAACAAAATCGCTGCACAAGATACAATAGAACCTGCCCGAACTGCTGTAAATAGTGGATGCGGAACGGACCATACTAATCCGCGGCGAAGGCCACAGAGGCGCCTGAAACTGTCCTCACCCAAAACGCGGCCTACTGAGATGCGTTAGGGTGGTCAGTTTGGGGGGAAGCTCGCACCATCACGGTTTTTAGCAATTCTACAATTGCGTACACTCAATTTTTTGGGGGGGTGTAGTTGGCTTGTGACCACGGAAGGCATCCGCGTTAGTTGGACCAGTACGGACATTAGAAGGTACTGAGCGAAGACCGGAACAGTTTTTAATGTGCAGACAATAACAACAACAACAACAACGACAACGACAGCAGTACGCAGGCTAGGCGGGAAGCAGTCCAACAGTGGCGTCGACAAAGACGGCCCCCAAATCGGCACTGCACCTATAAGGAGGAACATTTATCCTGTCTGTGTCGCCCCCGCTGGTGCGGCGTAAAAGGTGTTGCAACACAAGCGACCGGAGTAGACGGCAGTGAGTACAACACAACAATAGCAGTTCGTATGGTTCGTACCCGTAGATGATCAAGTTGTAAGTTTCCACGTCAGGCTTGATCCCGTCTTGCTTCATCTGTTCCGAGAGGCTGCTGATCGCCGCGGCGTTGGTGTTCACCGACAGCAGCTGTGCAGAGAGAGAAAGAGAAGCCCGCACACAATAAACGCACACAGAGCGCGGGGGAAACTAAAGCATGTTATAATCTGTTGTTGCTGTTCATGTTGTCGTCGTCGTTGCCGCCGCTGCTGCTGCCACTACTGTTCTCAATCTTGCTACTGCTATCGATGATGGTGATAAAAGACGACTTGCGAAACGACCGTTACTGCTGTGCTGTGTACCACTGCTAAGCAGTCTTCAATTCAAAGCTTGACGAACCTTGAAAACCGCCTTGTACAACCGGGCGTCCTTCGTCCCTCTGCTGCGCGCTGCCTGGAGCAGCTGCAACCCCTCCTTAGCTGCGCTGGCCCCGTTGTTGCGGTTGCTATTGTCGCGGTTTTGTGTCCCGAGGTAGTTGAGCCGCTCTACCAGCCCGGCAACATCGTCGTCGAAATCGAACCGGAGAGCCGGGTCTGGCGCTGGTGCTGTTCTCAATGCGCCTGCCTCTTGGGATCCTTGCGCAGCAACGTCGCTCTTTTTCCCGACAGAGAGCAAAAAAAAGAGAAACCGGGGGATAGGACGTGCAAGCGTGCGAAATAGACCAAAATAAACATAAAACAGAAAAACCAAAGTAGCAAAAAAGGGAGATATCGCGATATGCTGCTCCGGGAACCGTAGAAACACGGGTAGCTTCCACTGACGCTATGAGTTCATTGCTATTCTATGCCACATTCTTTTCTGTGGAGAAGACAGTTTTGTTGCGCAATTAAGCAAGAAAAAGAAGCGAAATTGAAGGGAAGAATTACTGAGAGAGACGCGCCTACACAACAATCGAGTGCCGAACGAACGGGAGAGTGCGAGGACGGAACATTTACCAATCAGCTGGACGACAACAAAAAACAGGTCACAATGCCTTCTGCGGCCTTTAACAAACGCAGTAGCTCGTGTTGTAGGGGAGAAACGACTCGAGCTGTCGTTGTTATAGCCGTACAGAGCAAACTAGACTCAGTGGATACGAGGACTACGCTGCAGGATTGATAGGAATTGGAGCAACTGCTACGGCAACTTTCACTGTGCTAAAAAAATAAAAAAAATGGATGAAACCGTGGTCGGTACCGCTGTTGCAATAAAGTATCGTGCGCACATATTACGGCTTGGCAGGGGGATTGACTGCTGTTTCCCCTTCCTCGCTGTCTCCCCCCGCCCCCTCCCCCCGTGCAGACATCTTTTGCAGCAAAGTGTGCTTCGGATTGCACTGCGGTGGCGGGTGGAATGGGGAGTCGGGCCAAAATCTACGCGTACCCGTTACTACGACCATTCGGGTGCAGGGTTGCGCGCCGCCGAGCGGCTGACGATGAAAAACCTCTCCTATTTACCGCGTGTGTAAAAGGTTCGCACGCGTGGTGCAATCTGGTAGACCCGTGAAGAAGACCTCACTTGTCATTGCTTGTGATTGTGTGGAACAGCAGCAGCAGCAGCAGTAGCAGTTGCCTTGGGTATCGGTAGGAACTGAACTCAGTGGGGGGGACGGATCCTCTGCTCAAGCAGGGGCTACTATGATCCTGTCCCCTGTTTTATCCTTCCGCGGTGAGTTGCATCTTCCCGCACCTTCTAGAAGGAATCATTCTCTTCTATGTTCCGCCTACACATCTAAAACCTCTGAATAGTAACACTAGCCTAACCTGGAGGTTCTCATACGCAGATACTACAAAACATCGGATCATGACAAGCAATTGTCGAATCCCCAAATGAGAGTATCGAGGATGTGGAGCTCCAAAACAGCACAATTCACCCTCCCACACCTCGCACTCGATGAGTCGCAAGAAGACCATCGTTTAAACTCTAAAACAAAAGAAGGCACAGGACGCTCGTTCTCATCGACGCGGAGCATCGCCAACAGTCTTGGGACCGTCAGGAAGCGACCGCGGCCCTCCGGAAGAAGCGCGCGGAAAATTCCGATACAACCATTGCATTGGGCCAGCTGCAGGCGCAGCAAGATCGCCCGCGGAGCCAGCTCGCCACAACTCCTCTACCTGCGACACTTGGCGTCGTCGGCAGGAGGCACCCACGGCTTTGGCCGCCGGCGCTGCTTCGGCGGCCGCTCCCGCTGACCCTCTGCCGCCACTGCAATGCCCACGGTGGTTCAGTACTTTGGTGTGGGATCGCGTCTTCAAGGCTGTTGGAGATACTCCGGTCCGATGGTTGATTCCTGGCCCTGGACTACGGCCGCGCGGTCGCGGTCGACGTCGAGCGCCTCGCCGATCTCCCGACGAACCTCGTCGGTGCAAACGAGCAGTCGTTGCGACTGATGCATGCTATCCCACACCAAAGTACTGAACCACCTCGGGCATTGCAGTGGCGGCAGAGGGTCAGCGGGAGCGGCGGCCGAAGCAGCGCGGGCGGCCGAAGCCGTGGGTGCCTCCTGCCGACGACGCCAAGTGTAAAGGTATCACGCGTGGTGCAACCTGGGAGACCCATGAAGAAGACCTCAATTGTTATCACTTGTCATTGTGTGGAACAGCAGCAGCAGTAGCAGTAGCCTTGGGTATCGGTAGGAACTGAACTCAGTTGGGGGGACGGATCCTCTGCTCAAGCAGGGGCTACTACGATCCTGTCCTCTGTTTTTCCTTCCGCGGTGAGTTGCATCTCCCCGCACCTTCTAGAAGAAATCATTCTCTTCTATGTTCCGCCTAGACATCTAAATCCTGTGACACGTCCATACGGCAGGGAGAGACAATGAAACAACAAGGGTTCCTACCGTGCAGAGGGTTTCTTCGCACACGAAAAATCTTCGGTGCAGCAGTTAGGAGTGGTGACAGAGAGTGCACGCCGCAAGCATAATTTGTTGGTCGACGGCAACAAGAAAAGAAAGAGTGTGTTCCATAGCCAAGGAAGAGAGGAAATAGGAAAACTCAACAGGGGAGAGGGCACAACACGGTACGAGGTGCTTCATCGTTAACATCCTCGCGCTTGTTACCGCCCCGGAGAGAAATCGATGGACACACCTACGAAGAATATAACTCGTTAAACCTTTTAGAAAAAATGAACGTGACACCACACAGCAGCCACCACCTCGAGATAATTCTGGGGGAAGTACGTACGTGTGTTGCCGGAAACATTTCGGGAACGAACATGCCCGGCAAATCAGCGGTACTGCGTAGTGGCGCATTGGCATCTGTTGTGCGCATGTGACCGTAGATCTTTATTGATGGAAAATTCTGTCTCAAAATTGTCGAACTCTAAAAAAAATCGAAAAATTCCCCAAAACGTGCTGTGTACTTGTAATTTACACACGGAACGCCGGGCATTGTGATTGAGGGTGCAAGAGCTAGCCACGTCATCGACATACACAAAATGTAGGCTATGCTTCGGGTCCATACTGCTTAAGTCTATCTGCTGCCTCAGAGATTATCTACGCGTATGTACGGATCAAGCCGCCCCGCGACTGATGTTATTCCGATTGTTTGCCAATTACGTGTAGTGTGTGTATTTGTACTGTTACGGTTTTTTGTACTGGTACGGTTTTTTGTACTGGTAATTTACGGTTTTAGTCAAAGTGGTCGACAGAGAGTCAGCACAACAACAACCAACCCTTCAAAAGTGGGGAAAAACACAAGCAGCATCCCTAAGACAATGGAGGAGCACGCAGGCCTCGCACAATAAGGGCTGCACAGACAGACACAGCAGACAGACACAGACAGCGCTGGGTACACCCACCTCCTGTACCCGGTGAGGGGGGGGGAGGAGAGGGGGGGGCGCCGGCTCATGTATAGGGAGGGATCTTGCGGTAGGTGGAATATGTAATGCAATGGGCCATGTCTGCTGTACAATGGCAGACCCGGAGCAGACGGCCAGTCATGCCGTTCATGTAGCAACGGAGCGAGTGATACCATGCGCAGGTTTCTCCCAGCCAAATAGTGTAGTTGCGGCAGGCTGCACACTACAGACTCGGTCGAGAGCGATCCACCCTTTCGGCGACCCCGCGAAATGAAAAGCTCTTCGTTCTGCTGTGCACTCCGCGCGGGTGTGCGGCTGCTGGATGAAAGAGCTGTCTCGGAGCCGGTCTGTACAGCCCGTGGGCGGTTGAATGTGCACTGAAAAGTTCAAAGTCTGAAGAGCCTTCAGACTGGGCGCACGAGGTAAAGGCTGGAGCCTGGGGTTGCTGCAGCCGTCGGAAGTGGAGGCTGGAGGTGTCAAGCATGGCAGCCGCTCTTGGTTCAAAGCGGGTCTGTGGGTACAGAGAGAGAACACACAGACACGCTCCATCTTGACTACTCGTTAGCAGACAAAAAGCTGCCTCATTTAGATGTGGCGGTGGACGTGGCAACCCATTAATTTGTCTTTCTCACATGCTGCATCAGACCTCCGCTCCCATCGCTCTGAGTCGTCGCTGTCGCCGCTCCTGGTGCGTCTGATTGAAGACACCGCCGCAGCGTGCATCCGGCATGTACAACCCTGCTGCTGCCGGGTGTTGGCATAGCAGCTGCACACGCCGCTCCAGCGCTCCTCCCGCTGCATCTAGAGCGCGCAGCAGCCTCCCGTCGTAGGCATTGCGCAGCAAGCGTCCGTGCCCGCAGCATCGCCTGCCTCGCTATGGACTTGCTGCGTCCTGCGCTCAGTCGCTTGCTTGGTTCGCGCTTCGTCGGGGGGGGGGAGAAAACAGACCGCCACTATACCCCAGGTCCCCGGAGGTCCCCTACCTTGTTCTTGCGCATGGGTTATGCATTCACGGAGCCCCCTCTTTGGTGTCTTTGGCACGCGGGCGGAGACCGCCACAGGGCACGACAACTGCTGTCCTTCCCCCTGCCCTGCGCTTGGAGACCGGGGCTTGTCTTGTCTCTGTCGTCGGAATTGCACCACCCCTCTCAGGCGGGGAAGGGGCAATCACACCATCGGCCCATCATGGGCAACCCCGTGAGCAAGAGCCAGGAGTTCATGGAGCAACGAGAGAGAAGCAACACGGAGTACCGGAAGCAGGGAACCCTGTCTATGAACCTGGTAAGGCCGGAAAGTGTATTGCTGGTGCTGCTCTCTCTCCCTAACCCAATTTTGTCACTTTTCCCGACAGTGAGAGGGGGGGCAGGGCAACAGGGCGGCTGGTGTCGTCTAAGCCCCGCGCGTGAATCGGCGTCTCGGTGGCGGTTGCTCCTCTGGTAGTCGCGCATGCTGGGGGAGAAGTTGGGCGGGCGCCTTCGCTGCCGGAACCCTTTCGGAATACGCACACACTCTCGTCACAGCAAGTAACGAATATTGTCGTCGCCCCCTTCTTTTTTCTTCATGAGACTTCTTGTGTAGATTTTTGACCTGTTGGGTCTCATCTTCATCTGTCTACCTGCTGCTGCTGATGGTATGTATATGGCAAAAGGCCTCCGTCTTCTTCATTTCTTTTTAGTCAGTGCTGCTGCTGCTGCTGCTGCTGCTGCTCATAAATTGGCCCTGATGACGCTACGCTGCCTCTGCTAAGAGGCCATCTGCGACTGCTGCTGGGTTGCTTCTTGTGCTCAACTCTCGGTTTTCTCCCCTCGCCTTCTCATCGCAGGTGCGAGAGGAATTCAATCGCGATATACAGGAGGTGTACGACCTGAGGTGAGTGAGGGATCACAGCAGCAGCAGGATGCGTGTGTCATTTTCCTTCTTGCTCTGTCCTCGTGTGTGCGTTTTTGCGTACTAGAAAAACCGTTCCGATCTGTGCTCAGTGCGCCTTACACACTATTCCGTACATTCAGGTTCCAAGCCTCTTTGATACTGCTTGCTGTACATACATAGCGTCACCTACTCAACCTCTTTCGTCAGAAAATGTACATGTATGTATGAAAAGGAACAAACAGCCTGCTGGTGAGGATGAGAATTGTCACTGATCGTTGTGCGAGGCGCAGCGGGGCGCAGCATCAGCAGCAGCTGTTTCAACAACAAGCAGTTCACGCTTTTGTAGGAGCCCCAGCGACGACACTATTTACTACACACACGCGTTGCGGAGCTTTGCCACAGGGACGGTGGCACCTTTTTTCGAAGTGTTGATCGCGGACGATCTCTCTGCTCTCTTGCAGTTACACACCCTTCGCTTTTCGAATTTCAAACACCTGGATGCTTGGGGGGTCCGTTTCGACACAGCTCACCTCGTTACGACTATATTGTACCGACGATGGGGTGTCACGTGCGACGAGGATTCAGCGCCCACCAGCAGTGCGAAAAGCGCGCAGTGCTCGTGCGACGGTTTGGTGTACGTTCTGGTTCACGAGGGCCGATAGCGATGGTGCGGCGAGAGCGCGTCGTGGAGCTCGGCGCCTCCCGACTGCTGGGTTGATTAACTTTCGTTCTTGCCACACCGGTAGTAGCGTTTCGATTGCTGACCCGAGAACACAGCGGTACACCCGCGTGCCCCCTGTTCATGACCAATGGAAGGGGTTAAGCAACGGATGTTGCCGTGCCACCCCGCCCTCCCCTGCCACTGTGAGTCGGAGGCGTACCCGCTGCCCATTTCGACGGGTTTTTGCTGTCCCGTGTGACGCAAGGCGGATGGCGGTCGCCTTGTATCGGTTGGAGCAGTTGGTGGTGGAGGTATCTGCAGGGTACAGGAAGTCAAAACGAGGTTGTTGCACCTTTTGAGCGACAGCAGTGACAGCAGCCGACACAACAACACCGACAGCACGAAGAACAAAGAAACAGCCTCGACAGCGACGCAACCACCCGTACCATTAGCAAAAAATGACGGCGACGACAACACCACCACCGCCACCACCACGAAGAACTGTTTGATAAATAGTAGCCGAGATTACGAGATCTCCGGTTTTATATCATACTGGTAGGCCGTATTGCTGCTGTGCCCCGCCGGGGCCGTGTTGGGCCGTGCAAGGCGAGCCCACCGCCTAGTAGCGTGTTGCGTGTCGTTCACCAGATCCCACCTCCCACCTGCACCTTTGTACCTTGGTACCTGCTGAACACGTGCTGGTGAGCATGACCTCTCACTTTCCCAGAGAGTTGTCATGTCGTGTGACTGGCATCGAGGCGCCGAGCTGTGTTCCCTGTTGAGCGAACCCGCTCGTCTCGCATGTAGACTGCCAACGCAACGTACAGTGATGATACGTCTACTGGTGCGAACATGCACAGCCTGTGTGTGCGGAGTAAAAGCTTTGGGGCACCGTCCCCCGTTGAAAGCTATCGGCAGGCTCGTGCGTGGAAAATTCTCTGTAGGCTATGTGCGGGAAGTTTACCTTCTGCAGTTAATTTCTGCTGGTTTTGTGCCCGCGTCTTGTTTGTTTTGTGAGAATCCCTGTGCTTCTTTGGCGACGGAAACGGCTAGGTTGGTACTGCAGCACGCGAACATCTCCCACCCTCTCGAGCTATTTGTTGATATTTTGCGATCGGGTGTTTTTGTTTCATCCGCACACACCCCGCACAATATTGTACACGGAGAGCACGCCTGCCCTGCGCACACAACACACGTTTCGCTTCTCATGAGTGGCTTGCTTTCCGCAGCGCGACCGAAAATGCGTCTCATCTTTTTCTTGATGCGTGAACGGCTGATTTCCTACTCTGGCTGTTGCTGTTGCACGCGCGGATTCCGAGTGTCGTTCGACTTGGTGATCATCGCCTTATGCGTAGCAAATTTTTCGTCTTAATTACCATGTATTTTTTTGTTGACTGTTGATTGGTTGGTTTGTTTTTCCAGGTCGGGGGAGCTGCTCGGGAAGGGAGGCTTCGGGACTGTCAGAGTCGTCACGCATAAGGCGACGCAAAACAAGTATGCGCTAAAGGTGAGCTTTTGTTTTTTGGTCTGGTGTCATCGCACGAAAGCTCCTCCTCTGTGACCCTGGCCGGCTTTATGCGTCCAGAAATGACAACGACAGAAGGTACATAATAACTGACCTTATCCAGATAGATGATGGGGGAATGCACGCACATTGCAGGCTGAAGCGCCCGAGAAAGTTGCGCCGACGGCCGTAGCTTGCTAGGGTAGAGCGTCGACGGTGGGTTGCACATCTTGCATGCATTGTTTTTGGACGCAGGCAGCAATAACACAGCAGCTTGGCGTTTTTGACGTCCGCTTCGGGGGGGTGACATGCACAACACCGCCCTCCGAACTTAGAACCGTTTACACTCGATCAATTTTGATAAATACAATGCACAAGTTTCCATTCGCTTCAAGGGAGAGCGTCTCGCTGCTGCAAGCGTGGCCAGAACACCGGTACCATTGGTCACGGGCAGGGGACAACTATCCCGTCGGGGGGAGGAGGATGCTCCTGTCAAGCGCGCGGTAGGCTCTTCAGACCATTGGCCTCTCCCATGGTCCAATGGCGAGGTGGGAGCGGTACGGGGGGATATTTCGTCGGCCCTGGCGGCTTCCCACAACCTTGGCAGAGATGCGGGGGAACGTGCGCGTGCGAGGGGGGGGGGAACGCGACGAGGAATACGCCTTTTCCTTGTGTGTCCGCGTTGGCTGTCCTGATGGAAGATTGATCAAGGCAGTCCATCCGGCGTCATGACTTTTTTTTTGTTTTCCAGCCGGCCGGCCCGTCAAAAGAGTCGCCACACCATCCTGTTGCTGCTGAGAAAGCCGTTGGGCGGAGAGGAGCACGGGTGTAGGGTACGCCTCCTTCTAGTTGTCAATTCTGGTGTGCCCCCCCCTCCCAAAAAAAGCGACGCGGGAGAGAACGCAGCCACCCCGGCTGCGATAAAAACTCGACCGCCTTATCGAGGG